GCTCCCGTCTCCCTGACCCGGGGCTGGGGAAGGCAGGTGGGATCCACAGAGAGCCTCTTGAAGGGGGAGTGGGAAAAGGCAGAGGCGGAAAGTGTGGGGTCTACACCGGGGTGTGAGGGTTAGACATCCTCTCTGACAGGGCCCCTCTCCTGCCCCGGCCTCAGAGGCCTCCAGGAAGCTGGGCGGGCACTGCAGTGACAGCTCCTGCTATTAATGGAGCGTAATCTAAACAGACCCTAATATTTACCTCCAGACGCCTCCGGCCTCAGAGGGCGCCAGACAGTGAGAGTGATGAGCCCGGCCAGCTGCCGCCCCCTCCCACCCGCCCTGTGCTTCCCTGGGCAGAGGGCAGAGACCGGGCTGTGCGAGGCAGGAACCAGGTGCTCAGATCTGAGCCCCTTCTGGGTGCCCGGAACCTCAGTTTCCCCATCTGTGAAATGGGGGCAACAGTGCTGACCCCCCAGGCTGATGGGGAGGTTCAGGGAACCGGACTGCACAGCGGCACTTTGTGAGCCACAGGTAGCACCGTGTTCCCGGAGAGAGGGGGTCTGCCCCTCACTCATCTTCTGTCTCCCCCCCAGATCAACCTTTGGTGCTATGCCAGGGTGCTGGGGGTGTTCTGGCTGCCCTGCCCACCTCCACGCCCTCGCCCTGGGCCGGTGGCCCTGGGACCAGAACGGGGCAAGGACCCTCATCCTGCTGCTTGGGGTCCATCCTCTCCACAGGTCCACCACCTGCACCCCCAGCCCCTGCTCGCAGGGGGTTCCCTCCAGGCCCCCAAAGCTGCCCCCAGCGGCGGTGGTGGAACTACAGGCCCGCTGTCACGCCTCTTCCTGCAGAGCCCTGCCTGCCCACAGGACAGGAGTGGAGTGGAGGGGGGACACATAGACCCCCACTTGGCTCTGCGCCCGAGTGACCCCTGCCTGCCAGCCAGGGCGCTGAGTCCAGGGCATGAAGGGAATAAGCAGGTTTAATTCAGGATGAGGACTTCTCGTTAAGGAGACTGTTTACATCAGATATAAATACACATGCCAACGTCACTGGGGCTTTAAAAAGTCCGGGAGGGGAGGCTGTGGGGAGGGGGATACAGGCCCTTCACACACTGGCTCCTGCAGGACCAGGGACAGGCTGACCCAGGAGGACAGAGTCGGGGGGGAGCTGGCCTCAGGAGGGGGGGGCCAGTGTCACGTGGGGTGAGTCCCTGCCCCGGCCCCAGCCCTCCAGCTGCAGGGAGAGGAGAAAGAGGGGTGAAGAATGGGGATCCCAAGGCCCACCTAGCAAGGGCTCTCCAGGGCGAGGCCCGCCCCCATTCCCCACCTGGTTGGCCACCCCTCAGGCTGGGGTCGTCGGAGGCCCCCTGTCCCAGTCTCCCCACCCCCAAGTGTTGAGCAGTCCCTGGAGAAGTCAGGTTGGATGGTGGGATTTCAGATGTGGGGACGAGGAGATGGGCCTTGGGCACCTGCCTGGGTTTGGGCCCCAGTTCTACCCTTGGGCTCAGGGTGGAGTAATGAGGTGAGGGGTGTGACGCAGGGCTGGGGGAGCTGGGACCCAGCAGGTGCCAGCCAGTTCTTCCCCAGGCCTGTACTGGCTCACCTGCCCTAAAGAACCCCCCTGGCAGAGGAAGGGATTGCTCCGGACAGGTGACAACCCCCCGCCCCAGCACAACATTCAGCTAGTGTCAGCCACACACTCTGTGTGAATCAGAGTGGGAACTAGGAGTGGACCTTAGGACTGCTAACCCCCGAGGACAGCCCGCAGGTGACACTGGGCTGGGACACACGCCTGACGCTGACCCTCCCTCTTCCATCTGGTGCCGGTCCACAGGCCCAGGAGGGACAAGGCCCTGCCCTGACAGCCACTGGCGCCGCTCCTCTGGGCCAGCCTCGCTCGCCTCGCCGTGTGGTTCCCCACTCCCGGCTCCTTCCTTTCCCCAGAGCCAGGCCCCTCCTCTGCCCCAGGCAGCTCAGGGTCTCTGGCAGGACTCCCTCTGTGAGCCCGGGGCTGGAGAAGCTCCAGCCCTGAGCCTGGCACTCAGTCAGGGCTGGGATGGTGCTGGAGGCCATCCTGGTGACCAAGCCCACTGCTTCTCTGGCATCCAGGCCCAGGAAGCAGCCCTGGGCGGGGGGCCCAGTTATCCCCAAACCCAGCAAGCCTTGGGCTACCCTGGGCCATGGGCCAACATCCCGCACCCCAGCAGCCCCACGGAGTCCTGGCCCCTGGGCTGCAGTAGGAGTTGGCAAAGACAGTACTGGCCTTGTAGTACCCAGGCATTCACTCTATGACCCTGGTCCAGAGCTTCTCTCCCCACAGTGCCTCCCACCCTCATATAACAGACTAGAAAGGGCTTGTGGGAGCTTGGATGAAGACATGTGCCCCTTGGGTCTGCAGGGATCCCACAGAGGCACGAGCCCCTTGGGCCTGCAGGGGTCCCACAGAGGTATGAGCCCCTCGGGCCTGCAGGGGTCCCACAGAGGCATGCGTCCCCCAGGCCTGCTCCCACAGTGTCTGTGTCCCTGCTTTCTTGCGTTGGAGGGGGTGCTGGAGGGGAGTGAGGGGGAGGGCAGAGGAGGGGACCTCCTTAGGTTGTCTTTTAAACTTTCTTTGCCAGTAAAAAATTCATCCCTGTTCCTCAGGAAGCCCTTTGGGGGACAGAAAGGCCTGGGGGTGGGGGGTGGGGAGCACCTCCTGGCTGCCCCTCTGAGTGTCCAGCAGCCACAGTCTACACCCTAGGGATGGCAGACACTCAGCATCCAGCCCACCCACCCAGCCTGGAGCTCACGGCCGACACTGTGAATCAGCCCGAGTTCAGCGGCCTGAGAGTCCTTCCCCATGGAGCGCGCCGGGCAGCCAGCACCAGTTGATCAGTGGGAACCTGATTTGCCATAGGGGCAAAGCAGATGTCTATGCTGTCCTCGACCTGGCATGCCTAGCCCATTCCTGACCTTTGACCCCTTTGCAGGGTCCTGCTGACTGAGCCTCAGGCCCTTTAGCCTAGGCCTGCGTGAGGGCGCGAGGGCCAGTGCAGAGGCCGCGCGGGAGGCCCGAGCCCTTGGAGCTTTTGTGCACGCAGGCCGCACTGCCGCCTGGCTCCTGCTCTGCCGCGTGCCGCTGGAAGAGGCCGCGGACGGTGGCTTGGAAGCTGCTGGTGACAAAGCAGTAGACGATGGGGTCCATGCAGCTGTTGAGGCTGCTGAGGGTCACGGCCACGTGGTAGACCACGAGACTGGTGTGGCGAGGCACTTTGGGCCACAGCGCCACAGCCACTTGGCGGGCGTGGAAGGGCGTGAAGCAGATGAGGAAGATGACGAGCACAGTGAGCAGCAGCTGCATGGCCCGCACGCGGCGCTGGCGGCCCTGGCTCAGCAGGCCGGGTCGCGACAGTGCGCACACAATGCGGCCCGTGAACACGCTGATGACCAGCAGGGGCAGCAGGAACTCCAGGATGGTCAGCGCGAAGACGCGGCAGCAGGGCCCACTGCCTGCCGTCAGCACGGACAGGGTCACGGCACCGGCGGCCAGCCACACGCAGGCGCACACGGCCCTGGCGCAGGCGGGCTGGCGCCAGCGGCGGGACCCGTCAGGCCGCACGATGGCCAGGTAGCGGTCCACGCAGATGCAGGTGAGGAAGAGGATGGAGCAGTGCATGTTGAGGAAGTAGCCGAAGACGGGTGGGAAGGCACATGGCAGGCAGCCCTGCGTGCCATAGAAGACAGCGAAGCGCATGGGCAGGGACAGGCCCACCAGCAGGTCGGTCACCACCAGGTTGATGGTGTAGATGACCGACGGTGTCTTGGCCTGGGTGCGGCAGCAGAAGACATACAGTGCCAGCCCGTTGAGCACCAGGCCTACCAGGAAGATGACGCCATGCACCGCCATCAGCACCAGCCACAGGCCTGGGAAGGTGGCGTGCAGCTCCTCGTCCATGTGGGCAAACAGGTGGAACAGGGGCATCTCTGGCATGCTCATGTTGGCCACCTCTGCTGTGGCATTGGGGGCTGTCGCGGCCGAGGGCCCTGCGGGGGGCTCAGAGGGCATGGCAGTGGCCAGCACGGCCCCAGGCCTGGAAGGAAGGTCGACAGGTTACCCCAGGCTTACAGGAGCCCTGCCTGGAGGCTGGTCTGGCTGGGCTCCCTGCTCACGGAGAGCCCCAGCGCTCCTTCCCGGCTGGGCCCTGAACCACCTGCTCTCCCTACACCCTCTGGGCCTGGCACTTGTCAGTGTGGAGTTTCTTTTTGCAGGAGGCTAAAGCTCAGAGCCTGTTCCCCGCAGTACCAGAGCCAAAACCCCTTGCCATGAAGGAACTCTCTTGCCAGGACTGAGGGGAAGACAAAGGCGATGAGCTGCGGGTACAGGTTAAGAGGAGGGGCCAAGCACCTGGTGTTTGAGGCTGGGCTGCGATCCTGGCACCTCCCTGACTGACTATGCAGCTTTGAGAATGGCTTGCCCTCTCTGTGCCTCCTGTCCTAACTGACATGTTTGGGGTGGTGGAGCTGCTCCTAGAATTAACTGAGTGCAGCAGCGCCCAGTGCGTGGCTGTGCCGGGTAAACACAGTTCTGCTCAGAGCCTGGCCCATGGTCCCCCCACCCCGCTGCCCCCACGCCCATGATTCAGGGCTGTTGTCTTCTAGGCCACTCATCTGTCCTCGCCTCCTTGACACTGGCACCAGGTCAATGCCCTAGGCTGGGGTCCTCACAAGGGTCCTTGCCTAATGGGCCTGGGTTGGGGCCCGCTGAGAACCAGCTCCCAGGCACCCCAATTCTCACCCAGCCCTGGAGGCCTGTGATTCCTGATGCCTGGGGCCAGGTCCCAGCAGCGGGTGTGAGTTAAATAAACACTGTGCCCCTGCCTTGCCCCAGACCCTGCCTGTGAGGTGGGTGGGGCATTCTGGGGCTGCCCTCTGTTTACGTTCCTGTGCAGCTGTTTAACATGCGAGATTTATCCCTTTATTTATAAATGAAGGGTTGACAGTCCCCCACTCCCACCCCAGATGGGGCTGATGCTCCAAATAAGGACATTTCTGGCATTTTCATGAGAAAGGAGAAGGCTTTGGGGAGAGGCAGGGAGGAGGGGCGGCACGTGGGACTTTCCAGGCATGGTGTGCCCTCCCCCACCTGCAAGGAGAAGGGAAGACCTCTCCCACTTCTTGATGGCCAGGGGAAGTGAGGCATCCCTGACAGCAGGCTGGACACTGCCCACTCCCCCTGGGTGGCTCCACAGCCTTGGGCAACAGACTCCCCCTGGCAGTTTCCGCCCTGTGAACCCAGGACACTGAATCCTGCTGGCTGAGGGACTGGGGGCACCGAATGCTCTGCCTGGCAGCGGGGTGGGCACAGCAGAGGTGGGCGCTGGCTGAGGCCTGGAGGGAGGCTCTGCAGAGCCGGCAGCCACCTCTATTCTGGCCTCAGAGAGGCCAGCAGCTGCCTGAGATCACCCAGCTGCGCCTCTGCCTCTGGGACCTGGCCCTGGGAATCTGCTGAACATTAAAGCTGTTGGGAGGTCACATGCCGGGCAGGCCTCTGTTTGCTGGTCACCCTGCTGCACGCAGGCCCAGGTCCCAGCTCGTGGTGTCCTCTGCACTGGGCTGCTCTCTGCTCATTACCATTACCGACCTAACAGCAGGGGACAGTGTGCTGGTGTCCGGGAAGTGGGTGGGAGGGGTGGGGGGGCGCCAGGCGGGAGGGACATCTGGGGCAGGAAGAGGCCTGTGGGCACCAGGGGGCAGCGAAGGGAAGCGTGGGGCTGCAGCCTCAGCCTGGGAGCCCAGCACCTCAGGCTGTGGGCCTCGTCCCCTGGGGAGTGGGGGGCCCCAGCAGGCTCCCCAAGAAGGACAGGGTGGTCTCTTAGCATGTCCCTCTTCTATGAAAAGCCTGGAGGAGTGCTGAGAGCTGGTCCCTGGGGCGCGCGGCAAGCGGCTTTTTGGATTCCTTGCACATACTACTCAGTTTTCTAATGTGTCTGCACTAGGTCTGCATTAATGCCGTGATCAGAGATGAATAATAAACATCACAGAACATTTCCTCTGGGAGATGGGCCCAGGATGACGCCGGCCCAGGGATCCTGCCCTCCCAGGCGACTCCCCAGGGCCAGCCTCGCGTGCTGGCCAGCAACTCGCTCAAGGTGCTGGGGGCTCTGGGCCAGGGCTGCAGGGCCTGAGTCCTCCATAGCTCAGGAACGGGCAATATTCTCAGGACCCTGCAGAGGCCAGACAGGTGAGGAAAGGGGAGACGCCTGCAAAGTACACTGGTCACACATAGAGATGTGACCCCAGTTCCATCACGACTTCAATCCCTGTCATACTCTGACCCTGACCCTGGTCACAGGCTGACCCTGAGCCTGGTCCACACTGACCCTGACCCTGGTCACATGCTGACCCTGAGCCTGGTCACCCACTGAGCTCTGGTCCTGGCCACAGCCTCGGCCTCACTTCTGGCTTTCTACACCCACCGCTTTCTCTTTTCTCTGCCGAGTGGGACTGTCTCTGTCTATTTAGGACCTCTACCAGCACCCCAGCGCCCCCACCCCAGCACACCCTGTTGCCCTGCCTCACAGTGGCTAACACGCTGAGTTAATCATTCAGTAGCCACCCTGTGGGCACCCACTCGCTTTGCTCCGAGGAACTCAGATGGCAGGGCTCCAGCTTGTGCTTAGCCCATGCAGCCGGGCCTTCTGGGCAGCTGAGCTGCTGGGGGCTGCCGATCAGGCTGCAGGTTGCAGGTGGCCCTGCCTCTCTGGGCAGGTGTGTCTGGGCTGAGCACCCCCTCCCTCCGGGTGCCTCCCCCACACGACCTCAGGAAGCACTTTCCTCCTGGGGCCTCAGTTTCCCAAGGTTGCCACTGCCTCTGCTCTGCTGCTCCTCAGCACTCCGCGGGGATGGCTTCCCTCCCCAGCCCCCGAGCCTGCTTTGCTCAGGCGCGTGCCCCTCCGGGGGGCCGCTGACATCTCCACAGGGAGCCCCCACCCACCTTCCATGCTCTCAGCACCCAGGGCTCCTGCCCGCCCCTAGCCTCGCTCTCTCTCCTCCCACCCCCCATGCCTCGGACCCCACACCCCACCTGCTGGCCAGCGCGGGGCCTGTCCATGCTCCCGTGGGACGATGGAGCTCAGGGCAGTGTGGGGACGCCACAGCTGGTGCTGGCCAGGCCAGTGGGTGTGGTGGGGCATCTGAGCAATAACGTAACCAGAGGAGGTGCGGCCTTCGCGTCCGCCTCCATCCACTATGTCACTCTGGGCTTGTTGATTGACCTTTCTGGGCCCCAGTCTCCCTGCCGGCAGTGCCGTGTCAGCAGAACCTTCTTCCTGCTGCTCCCGAAGGATTCATGGTGCCTGCTCCTGGGAAGGGCTGGTGCAGTGGGACTGTGCCCGCTCAGCCTCCTGGCCTATGGGCCTCTGCCATTCACACCGGAAATAACCGAGGCCCTGGGACGGACAGGCCAGACTCAAACCCGGGTCTGCCTAGGGCAAGCCCACAGCCAGGCCCTTGGCCATGAGGGAGGGCAGGGCACCCAGGCAAGTGGCCCCCTCTGCCGATACGCGCATGGCAGGCACCCACTCCCCACGTGCCTCCCTCCCTGCTTGGCCACTAAATATAGCCTGGAATGCGGGGAAAGGAGAGAAAGTCCTGCTGTTCTGCAGGGCCAGCCTGGCCCCAGGCCTACCCGCCAGGTCTGAGCGGGAGGCACAGACCAGCCCTCAGATGGGCCCCAGGCAGTGAGGAGGCCGAGTCCCAGACAGCGGGTCCCAGCCCCACTCTGCCGCTCCCTCCCCCGGGACCGTGGCCAGGTCAGGGAGCCTTGCTCTCCTCATCTGCTAAGTGGGGTCACTAGTGCCTTCCACAGCCTGAGGGGCAAAGCATGGCCCTGCCCTAGAGCCAGTCTGAGGCTCTGGCCCCTCCGCCTTCCTGGCAGGTTCCTCGGCCAGCTGGCTGAAGCCCAGTGGGCAGGGGCAATGTCCTCGTAGTGCCCGGCACAATGCTGGGCTGGGCTGGAACCTGGACACTGTGCCAGGGCAACCGTCCCGGGCTGGGAAGCTTTGCCTTGCCCAGCAGCCAGGTACCGCCCACTGTCTCAGCCTGCTGCACCTGCCCATAGCAGGCACTTCCCCAGGCAGGACGCCCAGGATGCAGGCTCCCCGGGGGTTTGGGCCAGGGGGCAGATGCAGGCAGGCAGGGGGATGCGTGTAGCCAGCGAGAGTCCTAGCTCCAGCCTGCACTGCCTCAGCCAAAGCCGGGCTCCCTCTCCGAACAGACCATGTGACGTTAAAGTCTCTGAGCCTCAGCTTCCTCATTTGTCCTGACGCATCCTCAGGAGGTGGCACTGGAAGGGTCTGGAGAGGGTTTTGGTGGGTGGGGGTGGGAGAGGGGGCAAGTATGAACAAAGGTTCGAGTTAGAAAGAGGGGGACCCCTTGGGAGTATGGCAGCAGGCGTGGGCATGAGCCAGGCCTTGCAGAACAACCTCTGTGCAGTCCCAGCCCCAAGGGTGGGCCCTGGGCCTCGGTGGGATGAACAGCTGGGGTGAGGCTGTGTAGGAGGGAGGGGACAGGACCAGGGCCGAGCACCCGCAGACCCCCCAGCCCCTCTCCCGCACTGGTTCCTCGCTCTGCGGCCTCTTGGCCCATGTCTCTCCTCCTCTCCTTCCCTGTCCACCTGTCAGAGGAAGGAAGGCCCGCAGGGGCCTCCATCCTGCCCAGGCCCGCCCAGGCCCCAGTCCCCCCATCTACACATGGGCACTTCCAGCTCTGAGGTGCTTCAGAGCTTGAGCAAGCCTGGGCCTTTGAACCCCTTCACTGCTGGGCACCACTGCCCATGTCTCTGGACTTTCAGGCATGACCCTTCACCACTATTCTAGAGGGCCCTCCGGGGAGCTAGGGGCCTGGCCGGGGCTTCTGAGGCCAGGGGGAGGCTTCGCGGACCTCCAGGCCCAACAGTCCGCCTCCTGCCGCCCTTTGTGAGATAAACTTCTTCAGTGCTTGGCCCTGCTCAGCCCCTTGGCCCAGGGCTTGGCCCCTGCCACGCTGAGTCCACGCTCCCTTGGGGGTGGTGACAAGCTGCCTAGGCTGCGCT